GGGAAATGGAACGGTTGGTCCGGAACTGGCTCTTCCAACTTTGCGCTTTTGCTGCAGAAGGATTCCCCGCACTCGCGGCAAGATCTGAACCGCTCTCCCGGATCTTCCAACTTTGATTCTCTTCAGACCAAATCATTTTGGTGTTGGGTTTTTTTGCTTGCATCAACTGGTGTCTCCACTTTCCAAATTGGTCTGGAAGATTTGCAAAGATGCTAAAGTTGGAAGATTGTGGGTCCATGTGTTTTGGGGTAGGGGAAATTTGGATGCGCATCTTCAAACTTTCGGGCTGTCACCGCATATATATATATATATGAATAATATAAATAAATCTCTCTCTCTCTCTCTCTTCAACCCGAGCGCCACACTCTACGCCTGAAGCCGCCTCAACCCTTAAACTCCTAATCGGCTGCGACATCTTGGTGTACCCCTGCTGGCCTGCGTGTCGCCTAGTCTACGTCAGCTCATGTGTCGTTCGGCCAAGCACGTTGTAGAACGGCGGCCTGGGTGGCGGAATGTTTGCCAGGAGTCTAGTCCATGTTGTTTGTTGCTTGCGGGTCAAACCGCTTGCAATTGCTTCAAGATGAGACGAACCACATTCTGTGTGTGCAGTGTTCGGAGTGCTCAGGCTGTACATTATTGGCAAAGCGGATGTTGGGCAGCAAAGGGTCTGAGTCACGGTTAGCAGCAATGGCAGTCATCGTGCTTGTTTGTTCTCCAAAGCTTTGATAATTAGTACTGAGCACCGCAGCAACGCAACGCAACAAGGTAGATAGTACTGCCGACAAGTCATATACTGATAATGAAGATAATCATAAACAACAAGAAAACTACGCGGCGACTGAAGCCGACGAACACGTTGCCACGACTTGCGTTAATCAGCACACGAACACTCTTGATCGCCTTTTCACAACTATAGTGACCCCGCACAACACGAATGACCACAATGGTCTTGGAGTCTGTCTGAACCCTACATTCGGAAAAATAATTAAACCCCTCAATCCTAAACGCCTTCGTACATCTTTTCGTCGAGAGACTGAGGACTTTCGGAAGCGACTTGCATGGCCAGGGACCGCCGTGTAGCTGTGTCCAACCATTGGCCTCGGGAGCATTGTGGTTTGGGGCAAGGGGGTTGTGGTCCTTACGCCACGATCGTTTGGAAAAGGCTTCAGAAATTCATTCAGGTGTCTTGTGTTGGGGTTTCTGTCCAGGGTAATCTGAAGAGGTTCAGGGCTTGGGTCAAACTGTAAAATTTGCTGTTTAAAGGCGCTGGTCTAACGGCAGGGTGACATGCCTGGCGGAAATCGAAAAAGGTGGTTCAGCATGTCAAGGCTTGCCCCTTGAGGTTCCGGCTTCCCTTGACCAAATCTGTTGCTTTAACCTCGGACGTTAGGATTTTTCAGCGTTTTCAGAGCCATTGCCCAAGCAAAGCATCCGCGGAGCCTCAGAACGTTGTCGGGTGGATGTTGGGATCGGGGGTTATCGTTTGACTGGGAAGTCATATGGGGTGAGAGCTTGCAGCTGCTTTGTGTAGCACTCTTTCGTGCCTGACTTCTCTTTGCTTTTGCTGCTGCACCCTGCCATGTTGTAGTAACTTGTACAACTACATATATTCAGCCATCTAACCAGCTACATACAGCCGTGCATGTCGGCACAGCAAAGGGCACGGAACCTTCTCTGGCTTCGTAAACCTTCCTCTGCTTCTAAATGCACTTTTCGGGACGATGCTGGCATGTGGTGCCTCGTCTTCAGCTTTGGAATGCAGTAGAAAGGCGTCGGGCAATCTGGGGTTCGGGAGTCCATGCGAATCTGCAGCAAGTGGCAACAGCAGCACTACTAGGCAATGCGGGTTGGTATAACTTGTAGCAGAGCAGAGATTGTTGTCCCTACTGTAGATGCAGCCCTGTTTGCAGACGTAGGAATCGCAGCACTTTGAAGCTAGGGCTCGCATGGAAGGGGCACTTCGCAGCAATATCACAACATGCATATTCTTGGTAAATCTTAGTAACCAGGGCGTGGAGCAATTCTACTCGTGTGTTGGAGGTTCCAGCTTGCGGGATTCAGATGTTGCAGTGTTTGGGGCCTAGGAAATTGAAGACTACGAGGTTGTGTGGTTTGCTGTTGGCGGGTTTAGCACTGAGAATTTCAAGCGATGCGCAGTGCGACTTCGACTGATCTGCCACTCACCGCCTGTAAGTGCAGAAATGTCACCGATGAAAGTGTGCAGCAGGGTGGCTGCCTCAACTGCTGCATCGCCAGAGGGGGCTGCAACAAAACAGTCCACCCTGTATGAATTCTTTGATATGATATGCATTCCAGCTGCTTAGACTTCGGGAGCTTTTGTTCACACAACTGCCAAAGCCCGAAACTACAAGGCCTGAATAATAAAGTCTTTCAGAGAATGCCTTGCGGACATTTGGTTTTGTTGGAGTGAAGACTGAGTTTAGGGCTTGCGGAGGTCAATCTGGGCGATGCTTCAGATGTACTCGACACATTCGTGGGCAGTGCGGCCGTTGTTGGGGAGCCAATGCCTGATATGGCAAAGGCAAACCGGAAAACGCGACGACACAAACGGACCCAGTAGAGGCGTCCCGAAACGCAAGTCAACATGCCTCTTTCTTTGAGATTTGTCCCACGCAAATACCAACCCCTTGAGTCCAATCCCCGATCTCCATAACCTTAGCCCTGAAGCCCGAAATCCAAAACCTCTAGCCCTCCCTTCAGTGTAGGCGCCACGGCGAGTGCTAGGACCACCGTCCCTGCAGGATGCGTGACCAGATTCCAAACGTTGCCATCGAGACCGCCGCTCCTGTCAGCGTCCGGGAGGGGTCTACGGTTTACCGCTGAGGTTTTCGGGCCCAAGGCTCAGGGTTGAGGGATTCTAGGTTGGATTTAGAAGAAACATAAACAAATAATCCCGAGAGCTGTTGTGAGCACGGGCATTGAACGTGAGGACGCTTGACTCGACAGTATCTTCATGAACCCAGGGTCGTTGCTTTCTCTGCCGGACTGTTGGAGACCTTGTGACCATTGATACCTGTTCCCGGTAGGTAATTAAACAGCCAGCCCCTTCCCATTGTGTGAAAGCGATATAGCAATCTGTATTCAACCTGACTGTGGTGCTCACTGCGATCTTAATTGTCAACGTCATCGCAGGGTGCATCGTTCTCGCTACCATCACCATCATCATCATCATCATCATCACGTTTCTCTTCTATATATACATATATACATATTGAAAAAAGTTGAGATCTCATGACGGACCCAGGACTGCAGAAAATCCATTTGAATCTGATGTTCGGGCCAGGACGCTCCAAATCTTCGTCGATGCCTCGATTGCACGTACATGGAGCTGAGAAGACAGTCGTCTCCAGCCACGGAAATGCTAAGTTTTGCAACGCAATTCAGGGTTGAATGAACAGAACCGCTTTTGCTAAAACTGTGCCAAGTGCATGTTGCGCACGCATGTCAGAGCAACAGGTGAGTGGCAGGCCCCTCACAAATAAAGCCTGATTCTCATTTTCTGTAGACCTACATGAGGAGATCCCCAAAGCCTTAACCCGAGACCGAAGCTTTTAACCCCAAGCCCTCCACTTTGAGAAAACACTGCCGAATCCAGGCTTTCAAGCATGATGACTCCAAGCAAGGCCCAAAGCCCCTGAGTGGAAAGGGGACTATTCAGTCTTGCCAGCCAGGCTGCCATGAAGCTTGTGGCTACATATGTATGTGCACATACGTAAATAAACCATGACCTAAACAATCAAATAGGCATTCATGTGTACATATATATATATAGATGGTCATGTATACACATACACATACGTATGTATGTATACATATTTCTATATATGTATACGTACACGTACTTGTGGTGCATAAAAATGCATATGTACACATTCACATGACATAGGAGCATCGTGTAGTACAGTGTAGCTATGTTATGCATTACGAACTGTAAACGGACGGCGAACTAGCTTGATCATCTTTTTGGCTTAGCAACTGCCTGTAAAGTGTAGTGTGGGGAAACAAAGATCGTACTATTTCATACTAATCATGGCCGCCCCCTATATCACGAGCCTAAATCCTCGCATTCTAAATCCGATGTCCTGCGCCCTGCCCGCAGCACGCCCTCAATCCACCTACTGCAGCTGGCCAAAGGGCGGTCGGTGATGGAGAAGGTGCGGAAGCAAATCTGGTTTGAGAGCGCGAAGTCCGCACCCAGAACCCACGACACCTGTTTTGAGCACTGAGGAGGGGAGAGGCGTCATTTCAGCATTCTGGCTCGAAAATTGCTGAAACAGGGAACCACCGAGAGAAGAACAGAACTTAGTCGAACCGCCTTTCCCATTTCTAGTGAATTCTAGTGTCACTACGAATATTACAATCGTCGTTGACATCGCTGCTGCTGATGCTGCTGCTGGCGGTAGTGGTGGTAGTGGTGGTGGTGGTGCTGCTGCTGCTGCCACTGCTGCTGTTGGCATGACTGCGTGTCCGATGGAGACTATGACTGTATTGACCATGAACGATTCGACGGGTCTTCCTGCTTATTACAGGTTTCACGTTGTGTTGCGATGTTGACGACTCGACCCTCGCCGAGTTCAGCAGCAACACAAGTGTTACGGCTTTTGCGACCTGCTGCACCCGCAACCTCACCTCAATTCAACGCAACATTAGGGTCTATGGTCGTCGACCTCAACAAGTGCAAACCAGCATGTGCAATACTCCCAGACTGGAGCTCTGCGCGGTTGAGGCTCGGGCAATCAGAATCATGAGGGATGAGAGGAGGATTCCATCTCGGAGTAGCCAGTGCATGTCTTCCCACTGTGTGAGCTCGGCCTCAGCTTTGGGTTCAGAGAGGAGTCCGGAGTGACAGGCCCGGCTCCACTTATGGGAAGGTTCCCTTGAGACCCCGCCGTCCGTACTATCCGGAAGAGAAGCCCCCACAAACAAGACTTAGTCTGTTTGGGTTTGAATTACAACTCTACAATTGACAAGTGTTGGTCCAGAGGTAGAAGATATGATTGTTCGGTGGGTATGTTTTTTCGTCGCCTTGTTTGTTGCCATTCTTGTTACCAAAGTGCTGCTACGCTTTCAGAAGCATCCTTCGGGAACTCGAATCTGCTGAACTAGGGGTATTGACCAGAACACTCTTCGCGTGAATCGTGCATGTCGTATATGCCTGTTCTGAAATCTGGAGAACAGCTCTTCCATCATCCGAATGCGAGATCTTCGGAATCTCCTGACTGAGCTTTGGAAGTGGTATTGCTTCAAGTCTCGAACTCCCCTGACCTTACAATGCAAAGCCGACGGAAATCAGGGGCTTCGGTCTTGTCCTGCCAAGCGGCATACTTCCGGGTGTAGGCGGCCTCTTTCTTCGTAAGCTCTGCAACCTGAGAAGCTGGCTTGCGGCTTTGAAGTTCGCTTTGGGTGTAGCTGTCATTGGCAGCTCGGCAGTACGAAGTCCTCCTGAGGGCAGCTTGCAGCCAGAACCGGGACCGGTAGTACACATAAGGAACGATTGACGATAAGTCCTTCTAGAAAAGTTCCTAGGAGATGACCCATAATCCACCAGTGGCCTAGTAGGAGCAGTACAGGAGCACAGAAGCAAAACGGCATGGCAGCGGCGACAGCCGCAACAGTGTCGGCAACGGACGTTGCAACAGCAGAAGCAAGCATCATCAAACATGCGAAGTACTACTAGGTAGAAAACTACAAGAGCACAACATCATCGTAACCAGTTGCAGCAATGTCAGATGGACATCTGGCTGTCTATACCTGGCCCGGAGGTCCCAGGGATCATAATGCAAAGCTCGCAAAAGCCGTGGCGGGCAGATCTGTCTGTCTATCTGTCTACCTATCTATCGAACTACCTAAATGTCTAACAAGCTAACTAACTAACTAACCAACCAACTAACTAACTAACTAACTAGCTATGTAAATGTCTACATCTACCTCTCTCTCTCTATATATATATATACATACATACATACATACATACATACATACATACATACATACATATATACATACATACATATATACATATACAATTACTCACTTGCATATTCAGTTTTGAATGTCTAGTTGTAGCCAGCATATATTGTATCCAGATCTACACTTTGGTTTACATGTATACCAAGGCATATGTTCAAAACGTTGATTTCAACAATGTGCTCGTTTGCTTATGCATTTTGTTCCATGTATATGCATATGTATGTGTATGTATTAATGTATTATATGTAGTCTACATATATACGAACATATATATGTATATGTGCATATGTTTGTGTACACACAAAAATAGCACAAACACACACACACAGACATCTACACATGCGCAAAGACGGGAACCATGCCTATATGTAATCTTGTATGCACACGCATCGACACATCAATGCCCTTAAACACATAGGCTCATAGCCTATAGAACATACTTGCATGTTGCCATGTCCCACTCACCTATGCGAATAGTGGGGTATGCCAAGAATCATACTGCGAGTTAACTCATGTCGTAGCTCACGCAGGCGTGCTATGCTCAGCCACATGCATTAAGTAAGTAGCTATACAGTACATCCTTGAGTCCGTGAGAAAATGACGTGTCATCCACTGAAACTTACAACCCTCGCGGCCTCGAGAAAGCAACAAGCAGCTTCCACTTGCACCCAAGTTGCCCGATCGTGCTCAGGACGGTGCTGGGACAACTCCTCATAATGAACCTCTGCCGTCTGCATGATTCCTGAGACGACATCTTAACCCGAAGCCCTAAACCAAACAAGCACTATTACCCTAAACCCTAAACCCTAAACCCTAAAGACTATGCTCAAGACCTTAAAGCCGACACTGACTCTCCGGTGGGGCTTGGGATCAAGGGGGTCGCCGTGACCAAACAGCCTTTTGACCAAGACATGCAATACAGGTATGTATGCATGTAATTATGTATGTATGTATGTATGTATGTATGTATGTATGTATGTATGTATGTATGTCTGGTATACATATAGATATATACATACATATATACACATATACATACCTCCTATACCTCCTAGTTGTACCGTCTATCTATGACTTCTATGCTCCTCACTACGGCTGTCACTCTCACTATCGTCTTGCGGGCGTTCGAACTTCATTGTTATCAGTGTTTCAAGAATATTACAGCACCAAACTTATAGTTGCGGTTGTCAGTACATATTTGCTGGCTATCCTCGTGCGGCTGTTCGCAGCCCTATCATCACTAGGGCTTACACAGAATGCAACAATGGTCATGGGTATGGGCAACTGCGGCTGGAATGTCTGTAGTGCTCATGAAAGTATTGTACCACATGCCATAAAGCTATCGATCATTCGGAGACAGCATCCCTATGCCGCCTACTCCGTGCGCAAACCCATCATTCGGCCTGTTGTGTGAGCTGTCGTTCTTGTCAGTTCTACAAACATGCTTCTCGAGGTCCTGCACCGCACCGCTCGCAAATTTTAGATGCCCTTGTCATTGTTTTGTTAAAGCTTGAAGTCTAGACATGCCAGGATCAAGCTCATAGATCATGCACACCAGCATTTCAACCAAAAGATGCAGCTGAACCGGCAAGTCTTGGGGCCAGCATGAAGCCTTGTGTTGCCTCAAAGTGAAGAGGCTCTGAGGGCTAGGAGAACTCTTGAAGGCCGTGATACGATATGAGAAGTAGATCGTTGCAGCCGCTTGGATGATTGCGGCGGCCGCCGTGACGATTCGGGTGAGGTCCTAGCCAAGGTAGGTATCATCAAGAGAGGTCTTCGAGTTGAGGACTTGGACGTGATTACTGTCGGCAGGTTTACCGGAACGTGGAAGGACTGTTCGTATACAGGTGGCCTCGACTCCGGACCTATCCATCTGGAAGATAGCACAAATTCGAACCTACTTCTGCGGTGACCGAAGCAGACTCCGATCTCGCAACACCTTGATCGCATCCTGTAAGATGCCTAGCCTGACTCTCCATGATACCAGACTCTAACTTTTCCAACAAAAGCCATTTTGCTGCAAAGCTATATGGAGAAGAATCAGAATTCACGGGTCAACAAATGTAGCTTTACGACTCGTGGGGTAGGCCTGGGGAAGCTGCAAAGCTTACTGAACGCTTTCTTCCGGAGAGGTCCGGGTTGTCGTCACTCGGTGACGCCAGCATCACGCCAACACATACCTTGCATGGCTCTGCAGTTCGGCAGAAATCGACGTCTTCAGAGATGAGAAGGCTCCGAAGCTTGTAATCTCTGCCCGGCGTGGGCAGTGCAGCTCTCAGGCCGCACACGCTCCGGAACATAGAACACTGAGGCCGGAAGTCAACACGCATGGGGCCAACAGGCCTCAACATTTCGGATTCGGCTTTTGATGCATGTGGTATCACAGGCATGTGGGCTGAACAGAATGCATATTGCGAAATCTTGAGTATCAGAAGCCCAAGACATGTTTTAGAAGCAATTGCTGGAGGTGGATGGTTGAAATCGAGGGGAGACGCATCCCCTACAATAGCCAACCGACAAGCTGACGCCAGAAGGTTGTGTCCAAGTAAAAACAACAGTTAGACTCCGAAAGCTTGTTGTGCTGCTCTGAGTGACTCCTGCTCTTGCTCGAATCTCAAAGAAATATCAACCTTTGCCATAATAGACGGTTGTGTCGTTGTGACTGGGGCAAAGGCAGCTTCTTCCTTCTTTCTCAAGGCTCTACAGGAAAATCTATCGTTCGGATTCGTACAGGCTTGATTTGCAGTGGCTAGGGCTGGTGCGTTTACTTTTGGCACCAAAGGGCCTGAGGGATGATGCTGACCAGGATGACCGGTGTTGTCCCTGCACTGCAACAAGTGCTTCAGGACACAGGGATGCGGGATGTAGGTGACATCACGCTTGAAGCACTCTTGCTCTATGTGCATGGACATTCAGATGCCCATCAGATCTAGCAGCTAGCAGCCCAGAGCGCTGACGCCCGAGCTGAGTTTGGGGCTCAGAGTTACGGAACCCCGGCACTAACATGAACAGCTCACAGTAGGGCTTGGAACAGAGAAGGGAAGAACCAAACTGTTAGAAGGCTATGGCTGCAACACTGCAATCGTTGGAGGGGCTCCTCGCGGGGATCGAGATTTCTGGGTTTGCAGAAAGGACGACTGCCAATGCCGACGAGTGCCACTAGTACGGCGAGGACGACGACGACGACCAATTACGTCGGCTATGACAACAACGACAACGACGACTGCCACGACCACGAGGACGAAGTTGCCGACGACGGCGACAAGGATGGTGTGGCGACAGTGCTAAATACAACCGCATGAGACGTGCTTGGCTAGCAGTCTTGTGGCTGGAATGAAGATGCTTCTGCTCTTATTGGGTCTTCTGTTCACATTTGCTGAGACTCCGGTGTGCGAGCGATGATCTATGCCGGTGCCTTCTGCAATTGAGAAGACCCATGAAGCGATCGACATGTTTAATGTGGCATTGGGCTGAAGGGTTTGTGCCCGTTGCCCTCGACCCAACACCCTTCGCACTCAGGGCCTAGGATGCAGTTAAGATCAAGGGTCCGCGGGTTTGCGACCCTCCGGAACGAGTGGACAGCCATCCCGGCTCAAAGATAGAAAGGGGTACGGGACAACACTGCAGTGCATGCTCGGATCCTGTGGCGAAATAAAAGAACGGAAAAGTGACCTCAGCCCATAAAATGCCTCTTTTCGACCCCGACACCCAAAGCACCAAAGCCTATAGTACTGCCTCGGTGAAAGCTTCACTGTTCAAGGTTGAAGGCTTTGCGTAGTGACTTCCTCATGTTCCAAAACGATACGACTGAGACTCCGGTGCCTGCAGCTGGTTTCCCAGAAACCGCTTTACAATGCAGCTACTTCTCTGCCAAAGGTTCAGTCCTAGTACGGAGACCCAAACATCAACATGGGCGTGTGGATACTGCTGCTTGGGTGACCTAGATGAGGACGGAAGGGCCGAGGCACCTAGAAGCATCTGAGGAATGTTGAGCTTCAGAATTCCACAAAGAACGCTCGTGGGAAAGTCCGGCCCAGCGACCTCAAAAGGGATCAGAGTCAGCTGTGTAGGGTGCAGTGCCCTGGGACGGCTCCTGCTAGAAGTGCCCTGGCCCCAAGACCAAGGCCGCCGGGTTAAGATTTTAGGATCTCGGGATGCTACCTCTACTACCGTCTGAAGGCAGACCTGTGCCTGGACCCCAAACCGATCGACAAACATCCAAGTGCTTGCGTTGGGCAAGGATGCATACCTTTCCAAGGCCCAGTCCGCGTCGGTTCCTCAGCTACATAGGGGGCCCTAGTTGGTTCACGGTGCAACGAGATAGGATAACGGCTCTGAACATCTGCCCCAGCGTAACGACAGCATGCGGAGTGATTCTTTTGAAACGGAAAGGGCTGCAAGCACTAGGCGCCATGGCACCTGTCAGGACTGCCTGTGGAAACAGAAAGCATGGAAACAGAAGCATGCATAGACAGAGGCTGACGATATGGACCTAGGGAGTTTGAGGCTGAGGATTGAAACGCTCCTGGACCACAGTCGTTAACTATACAGGAGCTAGCGGGACCGTTGTATCTTCCACACGTGGTAAGCATGGTATTCAACAGTTTGTTTTGGTTCGGAGAAAAGACTGCGTGTTCAAAGACCCATTGCCAGGGAACCCTAATATCCAAGCCTATCCCCACAGTACCGACCAGCTGAAATCTTAGCTCCTGAATTATTTCCTGTATCGTGGGATGACACAGAGATTAAGACTGGACGCGCCTACAGGGCATAGAACTTACAAAAGAAACACAACTACTGAAGAACTCGCAAAAGGCAACCATAATTTCGCACAGTAGTAGAATGTGAAGAAACAGCTGCGCATTTGAAGGTACCGGGCTTCAGGATCATCTCCATAGCTCGAGTGAAGACGCGATCCACTGCCACAAAGCGCTGCACCCGCACGGACTTCCCTGCAACGTAGCCAACCAGGTACTGACCTTCAAGGTGCTGGGGCTCAAAGCCGAATCAGGGTCCCCATGTAGGCTCAAGTCACGAAACTCGACATGATGCAGCTGCCTGTGCACGCGAGCATCTTCGCAACCGAGCTGACAAGGACACCAATGCCAATGGCTCTCCAGACATCGTCTTGGCTGCCGAGTTGCGCCTGGCAGCGGAATGGCTGTAGGATTCATCGTGGGTGTCAAACGATGTTGCTCATCATCAGCTGACGGTAGTCAGTGTTGTAGCTTGGAATATGACACTTATGATGCCGAAACGGCGATGGCATCGACGTGGATCACGATGACGATGATGATCATGATGATGATGATGATGATGATGTTGACGGAAGCCGTGACGACGATAATAATGACCGAACATGTCGTAGCAGTAGCGATAGCAGCAGCTGTAGCATCAGCAGCAGCCGCAGGTGTAGTTGTAAAAGCGGCAGCAGTCGCTACCGTAGTAGTAGTAGTAGTAGTAGTAGTAGTAGTAGTAGTAGTAGTAGTAGATCGGAA